TGATTCCTAAAAGCTCTTATTGGCTCTAATGATTTATTATCCAGCTGCTCGTACAAAAAACTATAGTGGAGCGGAGCTTGAAGGTGTTGTGAAAACTGCAGTATCATTTGCTTTGAATAGACAGCTAAGCATGGATGATCTTACGAAACCAGTGGATGAAAAGAGCATTAAGGTTACAATGGATGATTTTCTGAATGCACTCCATGAGATTACTCCTACATTTGGAGCTTCCACTGATGACCTTGAGCCGTGCAGATGATGTTTTCAGCTGAAATATGTAAAATTCTTCAGTTCTTCTAATTACACTTATTTTTACCTTCTTTATATATATTTTGATTGATGTGTAACCATTAGAGTATAAACAGTATCTGGTATAAACAGATCTGCATAGCTAAATCCCTCAGAATCAGGAGCATATTTGTATACGGTTATAACTGTCCTAGACTCTAGGCACAAGGTTAGCTAAGTTATGATTCTGATATGGTTCTTTTGTATATATATGTGCAGTGACATACATTATGAACTAATAAGAAACATTCAGCAATTTACATGGTATCAGAGCAGGAATTCTTCCTGCAGCTTCATTTTCTTCTTTTGTCTCACTATGTCTGCAGAATCCACAGCCCTCTCTGCACCAGCTAATACTGAATTAGATTCCTCATCACCATTTTATTTACACCATTCAGACAGTCCTGGATCTGTTCTTGTTTCTCAAGTTTTACAAGGTGATAATTATCCCACATGGAGCAGGGCCATAACCATGGCTTTTGAAGCCAAAAATAAGCTTGGTTTCATAGATGGCCGCATCCCACAACCAGCAACAACTTCTCCAAATCATGCAATCTGGAGTCGATGTAACAGTGTGGTTCTATCCTGGCTTCTTAATGCCGTTTCGAAGGAAATTGCAAACAGTGTTGTGTTCATGAAAAATGCCCGTGCAGTGTGGATAGATCTACAAGATCGTTTCTCCTAGCGCAATGCTCCTCGGATTTTTGAGATTCAGAAATCAATTGTGAATCATCTACAGCGGAATGATTTTGTGACAACTTGTCATACAGGTTTGAAAGCATTATGGGATTAACTTGCCATTTATAAATCATATCTTACTTGCTCTTGTGGAGCAGCTGCTGAAATCACCACGCTAAAAGAGCAAGATCATCTGATGCAATTCTTAATGGGGCTCAATGATTCCTATGCCAATTTAAGGAGTTAGATTTTGTTAATGACACCATTGCCAACAGTCACAAAAGCATTGTCTCTAGTGCTACAAGATGAACGACAACGAAATATCCAATCTCTTGCATCCCCTTCATACCTTGAGCAGTCAGCAATGGTAGTTTCACATAATCACATATAACAATCTACTTATCGCTTTAATCAACAGAGTCAAAATAAATCTGGTCGACCATTATATCATTGTGACTATTGTGGATTAGATAGACATTCTGAATCACGGTGTCGTAAGAAGCCTAGAAATCCTAATTATCAAGCAACATCAATAAAGCGTGATTTCAGCGATTCTGGTTTTCAGCGGAACTCCACTGAACAACATACAGCTTCTTCTAGACCACAACTAGTGGCCGCTACTGTTGACCATGGTGAGATAAGTTCTGCTGCAAGCTCACCTTTCACTCAGGACCAGATAAAGCAACTACTTTCTCTTATTCAACCTCGTGTCTCAACCTTCTCCAATCCACTTGTTAATATGGCAGGTATCAATAATAATTTTTCAAATATGAATATGGTTTGGATTGTAGACTCGGGTTGCACTAACCATATTGCAAGTTCTTTCACAACCTTAGAAAACTTGCAACCTTATTTTGGTCCCCTTGTGAAACTTCCCAATGGCAATTTTGTCCCTGTTACACATTCTGGTTCCTTCTATTTTAATTCCACTTTTCATTTAGATAATGTTCTTTATGTTCCCTCATTCAAATTCAACTTATTATCTATTCAACAAATCACTAAAGCACTTCATTGTTTTGTGATATTTCTTCCTAACTTGTGCATTTTCCAGGACCTGCTGACGAAGAAGGTGATTGGTTTGGCAAATGAGCATGATGGTCTCTACTATCTTGCACCTTCTACAGCCCCGTTTATTTCCCTAGCTACTATTTCCAAACTTGTGGCAGACCTCTGGCATTTTTGACTTGGCCATCCAAGTGAGGGTGTTTATCGTAGTTTTACTCATCTTGACAGTACAGTTTCTTTTAATAAAAACTCTTGTATTATTTGCCCTTTGGCAAAACAAACAAGGTTGTCTTTTCCCTTAAGTTCAATAACAAGTACTTAGTGTTTTGATTTAATTCACATGGACATCTAGGGCCCTTATTCTACTTCTTCTCTTACAGGAGCTCGATATTTTCTTACTATGGTGGATGATTTTTCTCAAAATACTTGGGTATTTTTAATGCAGCATAAATCCCAACCATGTCTTCTTATTCAGAATTTCTAATCTATGGTCCAAACACAATTTCAAACCCCCATTCGAAGGGTTCATAGTGATAATGGTTCAAAATTTTTTAGCTAACAAATAACTACTTTTTTTAATTCAAAAGGGGTTATCCATGAATATAGTTGTGTGGTCACACCCCAACAAAATGGGGTTGTTGAACGCAAACATCATCATTTGTTAAACATGGCTCGTGCAATTCAATTTCACTCTAATCTTCCTCTCAAATTCTGGGGTGAATGTGTTTTGATTGCTGCTTATCTTATAAATAGAGCACCTTCTAAATTCCTTGATGGCAAAACTCCATTTGAGTTGCTTTTTCAAAAGAGACCCACACATCCCCATTTACGAGTGTTTGGTTGTTTATGTTTTGGAAGAAATGTCCATATCACTCATAAATTTGATTCTCGAGCTCTTCCTGGCATCTTCGTTGGTTATCCTTTTTGTCACACCTTAGAACCTAAATCCAGGGACATGGCAGATGTTGTATACTTGTGAGAGGATCCCACAAATGCACAAAACTCGAAACTTTATCATACCACAATCTGATACCACAAAATCTGAAGATAAAATTTTAAAATTTTGCTCTAATATCATAAAATCTCCAAATAAAGTCTAACTTACAAGATCATAATTTATATCTAAAATTTCATATCCAATTACAATAGCTAGCCATCTAACTTGTCACTCCCCTCGTTTTTCCCCGTCCTTGACTTCGCTTCGTGAAATGGTGAACAATGAAAAACTATGAGATAGCTCAATAAGTAAAAATATGGATAGCTCTTAATTAAACTTATAACATGCCAGCCAGTATAATCACGAAAAACATGTATGATTACGGAAACGAAATAGACATCTCCTCTATAGGTCATGGCCAGTGTTATAAACCTCCCATTGGCAGGCACACGATTTACTAGTGTATAATCCCACTAGCAGGATTTCAGAATAATAGAAACAAACCGGTTCTATCAGTAACATGTCGACATGTGCTAATATTTATAAACCTCCCACTAACGGGCACACGAATAAGATGACCATATCGGAGACAAAACAGGCAAAAATTAACAGAAAAATCATAATTTACAAATAATTTCCAGATTATCAGGGTAGTTAAGTAAACTCCAAGAAGGCTTGCTCAAATCAATAAAAAGAATAATAATTTCATTTCAAATCAATCATACTTGTGTAAAACGGGTTTAGTCCCGCCACCACTTCAAAAACAAACTAAAATGTGCTTTAAAATCGGAGGGCGTTACCATAATTTATTTACCTCAATCACATAACACAGAAAATTCACTCCAAGCGCTGGGGTGACAGAACAATCAAGAATCTAACCAAAATATTCCAGAATTAATAACCATATGACCGGACATTTCAATTTCATTCTCAGTATAAACTAAACATTTAAACCCTCATATTGTTGGCCATTAGTGCGTGAACAAGACCTGTGAACAGTACTTATGAACACTAACTACGTAGTAAACAGTAACTGCAACTTCCATAAATTGGCAAAAACATAGTTAATCTCACGGGATTTTTCTCCAAAATCTCACAGCAGTCAATTAACACTCAATCACATAAATTCCACTTGAATTAATGCTTAAATTTTGTCCTAAAGCTACCGAAATTATCCCCTAATTACTGCAGAATTTCGGACAGCACAGGCAGCAATTTAAATGGATAATTTGGACTTAAATGGAGCTATTACATACCAGGAATTTTCAGCAAACAAACCGGAGTTGCAGATTGGGGAGGGCCAGCGGGAAGTGCAGGGAGAAATTCGGGATCTACCCAAAAATTGGAAGGAACCAAGAAAAATTAGAGTAAACCAAGTCAAATCAAGGGAGAAGAAAGGGATTAGCTGCTGTTTCTAACCCAAAAACCAGAGAAATCACACCCACAAAGCAAGAGCAGCAGACAGAAGGAACAAAGTAGAGCAGATCCAGAAATTCTACAGAGGGGGAAAGATTTCCAAGCTTTAAATCTGGCTCTTGAACAAGAAAGGAAGGAAAAAAAAATCAAGTTTCCTTACCGGTTTTTCAAAGGGGGTGCTGTCGGCTTGGGTCTTCTTTTTCGGGAGCTGCCGGGGATGAAGAAGAAGAGCAAAACACGCAAATGGCTGAGGAAGAAAAAGGAAAAGGAGAAAGAAAATATCAGCTGGTCCTTATCCAAAATTTCCTCTTTTAAGTCCCTCAAGTTAGAAATTTTTGCCATTAAGCTCAACAATATTATTTCCTCACAATTAAGCCCCTAACTAAATGCTAAAATATCAGAAAATTTGGGACATTACACTTTTGGACAATAAGGATACAAGATTTTTGACATTAATTCCCAAAAATTATATGTGAGTCGTGACATTAAGTTTCATGAAAACATTTTTCCTTTTCAATTTGTTTCCTTTGAGGCCAAGTCTTTGCCACTCCCGCTGCCAATTCCAGATTCTATACCAATTGATACTACTATTTTAACAACCTCTCCAGATACCTCAACTCCAGCCCTTGCCATAGACGATTCATCTCCACTCGTCCCTCCCACATATATCTCTCCTACATTACCTTCTCTTACGCCACAAGATTCTGCAAATATCTTCGAACCAACACCTGTTGTCCTCCCAGATTTACGGCGTTCTTCACGTCATAAACAAGTTCCCACAAGGTATAAGGACTATCACTGCTTTAATGTACATGATCAATCAGCTTTTTCATCCTCAGGTACTCCTTATCCTATTTCTAATTATCTGTCCTATGCTCGTTTTTCTCCTGCTCATTGTACCTTCCTTAATACCATTTCTTGTGACATAGAACCTTCCTCCTTTACCCAAGCTATTTAATGTCCTAAGTGGAGAACAGCTATGCAGACAGAACTTTGAGCCTTGGGAGACACACATACATGGTCACTGGTTCCTTTACCACCTGATAAAAAGCCTATTGGTTGTAAATGGGTCTATAAGATCAAACGCAAATCTGATGGCAGCATAGAGAGATTTAAAGCCCGCCTTGTAGTAAAGGGATACACTCAAGTAGAGGGAGTTGATTATCATGATACTTTTGCCCTTGTTGCCAAGATTTCACTGTTCGTGTTCTTTTGGCTATTGCTGCTGTTAAACAGTGGCCTTTACATCAAATGGATATTCAAAATGCTTTCTTACATGGTGATTTACATGAAGAGGTATACATGAGACTTCCGCAAGGTCATCCTCAACAGGGGGAGCACAATCTTGTTTGTAAGCTTAATCGCTCTCTTTATGGCTTGAAACAAGCCTCTCGTAACTGGTTTTCCAAGTTTTCTAGTGCCTTGCTTGCCATTGGTTTTCAACAGTCTCCAGCGGATTACTCTTTATTTCGATTGGACCGAGGCTCCTCTACCATCTTCATTTTATTATATGTTGATGACATGATTCTTACAGGCAACAATCCTGATCTCCTTGCTCGTGTGAAGGACTTTTTATTTAGTCAATTCAAGATTAAGGATTTGGCTTCACTTAAGTATTTCTTGAGTATTGAAGTAGCTTGCTCCCGATGGGGAATTTATCTATGTCAACGCAAATACACTCTTGATCTTCTTGATGATTCTCGTCTTCTTGGCTCTAAAACTGCTGACACGCCAATGGACAAAAATCTTAAGCTTACTGAGAGTGATGGTCAGTTGTTGGATAATCCTTCCCAATACCGTCATTTAGTGGGTCATCTTCTTTACCTCACCATTATCAGGCCAAATATATGCTTTCCAGTAAATATTCTTAGTCAGTTTCTGCAATCACCAAGAAAACCTCATTTAGATGCAGCACTCCGCCTTCTTCGGTATCTAAAGAAAAATCCAAGCCAAGGGATTCTTCTTTCTTCTGCTAGTTCACTTGATTTACATGCATATTCAGATTCGAATTGGGCTAGTTGTGTGTCTACTCGAAGATCCACTACTGGCTACTTAATATTTCTCGGTGCTAGTCCAATTTCATGGAAGAGTAAGAAACATAATACCATGGCACTTTCTTTTGCTGAAGCTGAGTATCGGGCCGTGGCTTCTACCACTAAAAAGGTCATTTGGCTTCGCAACTTATTACACAGTTTTCATATTCGCCAATCTCACTCCACACCTCGTTACTATGATAATCAAGCAGCTCGGCACATTGTTGCCAATCCTGTCTTTCATAAAAGGACAAAACATTTGGAAATTGATTGTCATTTGGTGCATGAGAAATTTCAAGCTGGTATTGTCTACCCCTTACCAATCTCTTCCTTTCATTAACCAGTTGACATTTTTACAAAGGCATTGAGCAAGGATAGTTTTTATTTGATGCGGTACAAGCTGGGCATTCATGACCTTCATGCACCAGCTTGAGGGGGAGTATAAACAGTATCTGGTATAAACAGATCTGCATAGCTAAATCCCTCAGAATCAGGAGTATATTTGTATACAGTTATAACTCTCCTAGACACTAGGCACAAGATTAGTTAAGTTATGATTCTGATATGGTTCTTTTGTATATATATGTACAATGACATACATTATGAATTAATAAGAAACATTCAGCAATTTACATAGAGATTATATAAACATCTCTAAAACTTTTGTTCTAAAATATTACACAAAATAATTTGTAGACTTTATGGCATGGTGGACTGTGGTAATCGTCATAAACACATTTATCAATGAGCCATGTTGCTAGTGGAACAAGTTAAAAGTGAGTGAAGGAAGTCCTCTTGTCACTTCCCTACTAGAAGGACCGAGTGGCAGGTAAGCATGACCACTTTTCTTTATTATTCTCTTCTCTTCTTTTTAAAAAAAAAAATTTTTTTTTTTTAATGTTTCAACCACTTCTGATTCTTTAACGGCAAAAATATATATATTCTGATTCTTTTCCCCGGACAGTGGTAACACTACATTGGCAGCTACTGCTGGCATCGACGGTGATTTCCCATATGTCAAGAATAGATAGTAAGTCTCCTCTCTGTTTTAGGGTCTGTTTGGGATAGTAATTTTAGGGTAATGGTTAGCAGTTTGACCTAAATCACTAAATATAAGTGTTTACACCATAAATTATAAAATTTTAAATTAATGCCACGTGTAAAATTTTTATTGGCCGGAGGAGTTTTGAGCCATGTCAGATTCGGATCCTGGGCCCCATGACAGGTCA